GGATCGGTAACCTGAAGGGGAAGGCCTGGGCACTCCCAGCAGTAACTCTGAATGTTATTGTAGGTAATCTGATTCTAGAGTGAAAATTAATTCTCCATTTGCTTTATCACCAGACCAGAAAAATCTACCTTCAGTAGGGACTCCTAAGAAAAAGCATTGAACCAATGGCTGGTCTCAGAGTCCAAAGACACTTAAGACCCTCATGGTGGAGGAGAGGATGGGGCTGTGGCTGTGCAAGGACCTTGCTGAGCATGAAGAAGAGCATGCATCTGTGGGAGCCTGATTCAGTGACTGTATCACACTGTGCCTCCGTTTCCCCTGAATAAAAAATGAACAAATGGCAAATGAACTCTGGATTACCATGTTGCCTGTGAATTGTCCTGAAAACATCCCTGACTACCTGAACTCAAGCCCAGTATAGAGGAGACACTGACTTAAATGGCCACTGTCATTATTTGCCTCCATGAGAGAGAATTCCTGGGCTGAGTCCTGGTGGACAAGGAACTGTCAGGAGCATCTTCTCTCCTCTGTTCCTTCCTGGAGACCTGACCTCCCTCCGGAGTCTCCTAAGTCCCTCAGAAGAGTGAGCTAATGATACAGGGTATTTTGTCTATCGGTGCTCTCCTGACACAGCCTTAATTGAAGGAGTAAGCTCTGTCCCTGTCCTGATGTGGCTCTTGGGGTGGAGCCCTGGCTGGTGAGCCAGAGTAGAGCCACTGCTCCCACCCAGCCCTTCCAGGAGGTCAAACTCAACCTGACACAGGCTCCCCAGGTTCCCTGGAGTCAGGAGCCCAGGGACAGGGGTGTGGGAGGGGTTCCCAGGCTGGGTTTCTCTGTGAGGATTCCAGGGTCCCCTCAGGACAGGCCCCCACCAAGCTCTGCATGGTTTTCTCAGTGTCATGGTCATGAGGAGGGGACCAGGTGCTGGAGTGAGACTCTGCTGAGTCTCCCTCTGCTGAGTCACTCCCATGAGACTTCTCTCTGTCTACGTAGAATGTCTGTAGAGCTGGAACCTAGGAAGGGAATTCTGATCTTAGGAAGTTTGTTTCCACTCTGTGTTTCTTGCACTAAATGCCCAAAGCCAACCTGGGAGATGATGCAGAGGGGGATTGAGGCAGAGGTGAGGGCAGTCAGTCCTGTGTGTGAAGTAGACTTCACCCCACCCGACACCCAGAGGTCAGAGAGCAATCACTCACGGTATACATGGAGTTGTCCAGTTACTTGCATGCTCTGATAATCTTTGTCTGTGGCTAGTAGGGTATAGTATCCTGTGTCTTTCAGGGTGACTTTCTGGAACAGCAGGGGGCCGG